CAAACTTCTTTCTCCAACAGGCCAAACACAAGCGGTATTTTGGGCACTCTGCGCATGTCACCAACATACGCTTTTCTCATGATGACAAGTACGTTATAAGTACAGGAGGAGATGACTGCAGGTAACTGCATATTTATTTTTACCATTATCAAAAATTTTGCACGTACATCGCGGCGGGTTTGGCATAGAGAGGTGTTTAACACCTTTCTCGGCCCACTCTGCATCCATAGACGCCTGCTGATGTGCGGTAGTTTTAGCTTTATGGCTCTGGAACTGCGCTATTTCATGGTCACCCGATTCGCTCCTGCCACCTTGGGGCCGTTCGCAGGGTCAGCTCTAGGGGGTAAAACCCCTCGCGTGTGGGTCTCCCGTGTTTACCAGGCACCTGCTTGTAGGGCCTTGGCTTGCCTCCCGCCTGGGAGAGGGCAGAGGCGGCAGCCCGTACCTGCCAGCGCCCGCCCCCGAGACTTTGGGTGCCAAGAGGCAGCCGGAGGAGCCCCGGCTGCTGGCAGAGGAACCACGCGTGTGTCTGGAGAACACTTAGATCAAAGACAGCTGGCGGGGTGTCAGTCACACAAAAATAACCCAATAGCTCCCGCCCAGCAAAGGGGAGGGCAGGAATCCAACGGCATGGAAGAACAGACAGATTTAGAAAGACGTTTCAAATAATGGGAGGCTTCTTGAAAGGTGCCTTAAATTTGTGTTGGGGTGTTTTGGTGTGGTGTTTTTTTTTTTCCCCCTACAAAAAAAAAAATAATACGACAGCTGGTGTGTGCAGGCACACGTACACACGTGATTCCTGCCGGATCCCCTTCCACCCTCACTCCCCACGTCTGTTGGAGCTTCCAGCACTGCTGAGAGGCCGCTATTGCCAAGCAAAACGGGGAGCAGAAAGGTGAGGGACAAAAACTAAACGTGGTTAAACACAAAATGTAAGAGACTTTTTGAACAGCAGAATGCAGAACTAGAAAACTGAAAAGCACCAAGATGATAGGCAATGAAGGCGCAAAGTCTCACAGGAGCAGGTACCAGGAAGCCGCGTTCAAGAACCAGGTGTTTGTAACTGCTTACTCGGCAGGAGAAACGCAAACCAGAGGCTGCAAGATTGAGCCATTTCTGCCAGGGACCGGGACCGCGCCTCTCCTGCGACGCGCGTTTCATGGCACGCAGCTCCCCTCAGTAAGCCTGCAGGATGGATACGGCTGCTACCTTCCGTTTGTTCAACACCCTGCAGTGAATTTAACTTGCCTGCTCTTCAGATTTAGCCCCCACAAAATAGATGTTTTCATTTTCCACTTTGGGGGGAAAAAAGAAGGTGGGGGGAGGAAGGGTTTTTCTTTGAAAAAGGGGCGGTACAGTGGGAGAGCAGGACGCTCCGTCAGCTCCAACAGCGGCTGCATCGGCCCAAAGGCTGCACACCCCTCAGTGCTCAACCTGCGGGCTGGAAGTGCCAGAAACTCAGAAAAGCTTATCAGCTGCCGTCATTTTGGCAATATCGTTATGATGAGGATCCCTCAATTCACACTGTAGCTACACAGAGTAAAATAACAGCATTGCTAACCCCCAGGCCTTCCCTAAAACACACAGGCGCCAGTCACAATGCTTTAACGCTCCCGCGTGCCGCTGTTTGTCAGGTTCCTCCAGGGCTTACCGGTGCTTTAGCCGGCCTCTTGCGGGTCAGTCTACAGGTACAGCGCTGTGTGTGGGTACAGCAGCCTGCTCGCTCAGGATATGCTGAAGGTTGGCATCAAGTTACTCAGAAAAATAACTACGCTCTCAATTGATTTCTTTGCAGTGTATTTGTATGGCGGTGTCTGTGAAAGCCTCTTCCTGCTGCTGGTACTGCCACCGCCCAGTGACCGCTCCGGACTGGACAGCCACGAATGCCTCTACCCCTCCGGCTGCTCTAACTCCCATACGATGCTGCATGGATTACACATTTTCAGATTACTCATCCGAATTTACTGAACGTGAATGTGATCTTGCGTTTGACAGACCAATATCCTTGGGAAGGAAGCTGAAGTTGGAAAGGGAATCGTTCTGTAACCTGGGTAGGCCAAAGTGATGACCAGTTCACTCACGAAGCTGCTTTTGCCTGATACTGTGCTATTCAAACCATGGCTGAAAAGGGAGAAAATGCTGGGCCCTTTAATTTGCCTGATTTCAAAATTTATGGCTTGAACCATTTGTTCAAGGAAGTTTTGGTGGGTTTTGACCACACCTGCTTACAACTCAAATTTGGTGTGCTGAGTAGAACAGCAAGCTTTCAACAAGCATGCTGGGGTTCAGGCTTCAGCTTTCAGTAATCGAAGGAGCAAACTATCATTTTTTTAAGTCAGTCCGTTTTATTTTTAAATATATATATTTGGCAAAAATTTCTATCCATGAAGTGCCTTTGAATAATTTCCCAGTAGTATGGGCTACAGTCTTGCCTCCCACCAATCGCTTTCAACATACGGTGCTATAACTTTCACAGAGGAGGGCTAACCATTAACACCTTTTCCAGCTCTGTACTTGTATTATCCCTGTTTTCTGCTTTGGTTTTTAATACCTTCACAAGTGAATTCCAAAATGTTTCCGAGAGCAAGAAGCTGTTATAAGGACAAATTCCCGCTGGCATTACACCTCTTGATAAGCTGATCGCAATTTGGTTCGCGATGGTAGCTTGACTGCAGCCAGAATTTGAAGCTTAACTCAAACGGTGAGTAGAGAGGGGAGAGGGAGTATGGAGCCCTGGTTACGGGAATTCCCACGCGAGTAAGGAGGAAGCTGTTCCCCAGTGCTCCTGCCCTCTCCCCGTTTTGTGGGAAAATGCATTTTACAGGTAACTACTTCCCCAGGCAGCGGCCGCCTAGCGCGCTTAGGAAGTGGTTTGAAAGCCTCTGAGCATCGTGGCCATTTCCCCTTCTCCCCAGCCTGGGGGGGCTCGCTGCAGGCGCCCAGCGTGCCCGCTAGGAACGCCCGGCCCATGGCTCGCAGGGGCTCGCGAGTCCCAGGCTGCTTAGGAGTACAAACTAAATGGCCACGCTACCAGAGTATTTCCCTAGCCGCCAGAAAAGCATCATCTCTGCTAGATCTGGACTCCTCCCCCCATCGCTGCTGCTCGCGCAGCCCCCTCGTCTGCGGCCGGGCTGTGGGAGCGCGGGGCAGGAGCTGAGCTGAGCCGAGCTGCCGCCATGTGGAAGTGGAGACCACGAGCAGACGTTCTCAAAGGCAAGTGAAAGCTGGTCAACGTTTGGTAATGAGCATTCTGTCAAAACCAAAACCAACAGGGACAGGGGCATTGGAGACGGAAAAGTTCAGCTTTCTCCAATGAAACTGTTTAGAAAGGAACCGAAAATGTGGGCAATGTCAAAACAAATAATGATCTTTGCGCTTTCTGGCATGGAACAGCAGCCCTATTTTGAAATTACCTTTCTTTTAAAAAGACTGTTTGTTACTCAAAAGAAATAAAGGCCAAAATAAAACCTTTAGACTTACATTGAGTCTTTGGAAAGAAATGTTAAACAGTGCTTTAGTCCCAGTTCAGGAAAATACACTTTTGAACTGGGGAAACTCCCTGCCAGTCCACTTCTGCCGCCCACCGCGTGGAAGGGAGCTCTGGATGCAACGCGCCATCCAGTTAAAGGAGTGGATCAACGTACATCTCACACACAGAAGTGCTTCAGCAACCTCAACGAATCACCTTTTTTTAAAATTGAATTTATTAATGCCTTATATTACTATACAGAAGATCAGTTTGTCAGATACACAACAAGAGTCCCTATGCAGTCTTTTTTTTTTTAAAGAAACCTTCTTGATCAAATGATGTAATCGTGTTAGGTGGTGATGTCAGCAAGCACCTCCTTTGCCTCTGTTGTAACGATGTTTGCCTTCCTTTCACACTGATTGTATCCCAAATAAAAACAAGTTGCGTGGCAGAATGAATTAATAAATGGTGATGTGAAAAATATCTTAAAGCAATAGTGTCTGTCAGGAAAACACAATTTGTATGTTTCTATGGTTTGGCTTTCTGTATAAGATGTTGAGCAGTAATGACGTAGTATACTGTAAACTAAAATTTAGTGCATGAATTTATTTTTCAATGGTCAGGATGCCATTAATTTAAACATCTGTGTCTCCAATAAATTTGGATAAAAGTTTTCGATGTCAGATTCACCAAGTTTATCTGAAAGAGATCATCAGGACTTGCTTGGCAATTTCCTTCGAGCTAGAATACGGCATCGTACGTTATCGCCTCAAAAATCAAGAAACCAAGGATCTTCACTTTGTTTAGCAGAACCTGAAATGTCCTCGGTCACAATTTTCAGTTACCAACTCACAACACGTACGTGTCTGACAGCACGGGGGCCGGCGGCAGGGAGGCCTCCTCGCGGCAGGCAAGGGGCTGCGCCACCAGAGCCACGCGCCCAACTGCATCACCGGCCGACACAGCGACGCGGGACATGGGATCTGGCACTGAACAAACTGCTGCACACTGCACATACGGAAAGCAAAGGTCTCATGAGAAATCCAGCTACTCACATGGCTACACGGCCGACACACGATTCCACCACCATGTACAATGGATATTTAATCACCATGAACTTACTTAAACAAAATAAACACAAATATATTAAACTTGCCTCAAGAAAGCAAAATACCGATATTATTTTATGTCTATAAGCTTTATTGATACTTGGGGTTTTTGTTTGGTTTTTTTTTTTTTTGCCTTTTTTTTTTTTTTTTTTTTTTACATTTCACAATGCATTCCACAGACTTAGTTCAATACAGCTTAAACTGCAAGTTTATAAATTTTCATTTACCATTTCTTGCATAACAAGGTTTTAAGTTTCCAAACAACATTTGCAGCGTTAGATATTCGGTCCACAGATTATCAGAGTTTGAGAGACTGTAGAATTACTTGCTCAAAATCAACTACTGTATGTTTGTGCAACAAAGTGTATGCTGTAATTTTCTTTTAATACACACGGAGGTTCCTTTGTTCACTCCTCTCCTGGTTTTTTTGAGCGGATGCTAGTGCTTACAGAGCCGTTTGAGTTTATCAAGCTTGTGTGCTATGGAGCTAGTCCAGAACCCAGTCAATTCTCTGAAGTAGAAGCACTGTGGAGCAGCTGAAAGATCTAAGCGTTGTGAAACACATATATATATATATATATAGGCAATTGATAAAACAATAAAATCACAATACAGCTATACTCATACCAAAAAGGCAAGATTTTTCAAAACTTGCTAAAATGGTATATTCTTCTAAAACATCTCATTTTAGAAAATCTGCATCAATCTACACAGACCATACACAGTGCACAAACTGGGAAGTGTTCTCCTCCGCTCCACCTGCACGCAGCAGGGCCTACCTCGGACGAAGCAAATGTACAGCGCTCTCGAATCTTTTGTATTAGCCAGTGCTGCACACAGGATAAAGAAGGATGATTAGTTGTAGCTCCATACATAGCAGCTTACGATACTTAAGATGATGAAACACATGGCAGTCAAAACAGTTATTTTTTTTTTTTTCCTCAAACACTGCGTCGCTAAAAAATAAAGATCTGTGAAATTGCACTGCAATGTCAAGGGGTTTGCTATTCCCTGACCCTCCCCGTGTAAATCCAAATGAGTATTTTTTTCCCCCTTAAAAGATGAACTTCCTATCGAGACGTTGCTTCAGGCTGGTTACTCAGTTTTGCGCTTCAACCCCGGGATCTTCGCTTGGATCCTACAAGAGGAACAGGAGGGGGGGAAAAAAGGCATCTAAGTAACGAAGGACAAAAAAAAGTAAAAACAGCAAAATAATTCTTTATTAAGGATTATTATTATTATTAAGCAATATTGTTATTAATAGCAAGAGTAGTATTATTATTTAAGGTAATTATCACAGCAACACAAAACTATTACACACAGAAACCAACACAACTGCTACATTCTTCTTCATTGACCCCGCAGTTGCAGCTGCTGAGGGCCTGGGCTTTCCCCAACGGGCTCGAATACCCAGCTTTCTCTCGCTCAATCAGAAATACTACAGCAGGAACTTAATGGCAGCATCAGCGAGCAAGGAGCTGATGTCACAACCATTCCAAATTTAAACAAAGGCTTTTTTCCCCTCCCCAGTGCATGTTAATGCATTTGTTACCTACAGGAGTACCACGCATCACAAGAACCATAAACATTATTTACGAAGTGCGATTAAAACCAAACCCAACCCAACTCACTTGGCCATTGCATCTTTGACGTTCTTGTTCACGAGTCCCAGGTAGTGGTCGATTTGGGCCTGAAAGGGAAGATGACAGATGTTACACACCAGCTCTTACAAACAAACAGTCGCCTTGCTGCCCGGAAGGCAGCGTCACACCGCGCGTTACACGGCTGACGGGAGGAGGGGGCTCAGCCCTGGTGGTTTCCCCGTTTGATGCCACGGCTCCCGCGGCTTCGGCCACAGCACGTGCTAGGGGTCGCCTCCAGGAACGCATGCAGCGGCAGGGACTAGAGGGTAGGCAAGTACCCAAATAAAGCCAGCCCTGGCTTCTGCATGTTCCCTCAAACCAGTGTGTGTGTCCCCCCCGTGCTCCTCAGGGCTGCCCCAACGCCAGGGTGCACAACCAAGGCCCTCGGCTCCTCTGGGCACCACGGAGAAGGAAAGCTGCTTAGGTGGGCTGGGCCTGTTAAACAGCTTACGCCTTCGGAGAGCAGCCTTTGGCTTGTCAAGAGGATTGAGGAGCCCGGGTTAAGCCAGACAAATTGTCCTCAGGGCTACAGGATTGCCCCTCCCCACAGCGTACTTTGTTCTTTCCTAGGAGCGCGGAGAGGAGCCCGAGAGGCTCCGCCATCTGCTCGGTGCTGCTCTTCCTCCCCAAGTCCCAGGCTGGCCTCCCCGAGCAGCGTTGTTTTTGAAAGAGGAGAAGGGACTGCTAAGCCAGAGCTGGCTCCCCCCTCCTGCGCTATGACCTGCTGAAGACAGTCCCTGCTCAAGCTCAGCTCTAATTTAATCATACGCATTTGATTTTGACTCCTTCTTACCTCTGTCTTCTACACTAGCCTCTCCACAGAAGCACCAGACTGTGCCGAGCGTCTCCCACCTCCTGTTTTTGACAGGGCTAAAAATTCCACAGGGCTTCAGGACACAAATCCTGGACATCAGCTCTGAAGAGGTATCTTCAGAAACTGTTTTAAAAGTACTTACACCAGGATTAAGGCGCCGTGCCTACTGCTGCTTTACTCCTGCCTAAATCTGGATCGGAGAGGAGGAGGCCTCCAGGTTAATCAGGCCTTTTTTTTTTTTTTTTTTTTTTTTTTGCAATGGTTTGCTGGGGAAGCTTTCTTACACTTCCACCAGAAAGGAGAAGGGGGAAGCAGACGCAGTCTGGACTCCAAAATGGACTTGCTTTCTCCTGGCCCTGGCACCGACTCCTAGTTAAAGGCCTATGCTTTAAAGGCTTTAGAAAATTTAAATTAATTTTGGTTTCATTCGCTTGCGGTTTTGTTTCAGTAGAGCTGATCTTACAAAGCATTTAATGAAGCGCATTAAACACTCACCTGATGTCTCTCATAAATAACAGGAACACTGAAGAGCGAGATCAAAGCTGGAAAAGAGCAGAGCAAAGGTACAAATATTGACAAAGGGGATGGTGTTCAGGTAAAACAATGACAAGTGTTCACACCTTGACATTTCTTTCCAAAAGGTACAAGAAAAAAAGAAATAACTAAGCCACATACAAAAATTTTTGGCCAGTAATTTAAATAATCCCTATTAAGGAGAAGCTGGGCTGTTCTCCAGGTCTCATTAACAGTACTGCGAGATTGGTCACGGTTCACTTTTTCACTGTGGGTTATGCAAATTCTTCAAGAAGGACGCGTAGGCTTCTGCCACCGTCAGTTGGTTTCTGACACCTGAAGCCAGCCTGCTCCGGGATAGACGAATCAAACTATCTGCAGTGGGACGTGGCCAGCGCCAATTCTGTACCCGCTCCAAAGTCGCAATACAGCGATGATACTCAAGTGAGGCCAACCCTGACACAACTGGTCATGCTCTTAAATGATACAATGTCTGGGAAATCGGCAATCTCAAGGAATTCCAAGATTGCAATTCAAAATGACCCATCCTGCGGCGTTACCAACGTCCTAGAAGGGGACGCGTGACTGTAACACTCTGCTACGCTCTCAAGAACACGGGAATAGCCTCACAGTACCGAGCAGACTTCAGTGCTGCTCCGGGGTTGTTTTGTATGCCAGGTATTTAACACAACGTGAAACACTTACCCAGGATCAGTAATGTCAGACCATTGAACAAGGCACCAACATAAGTGAATACCCACATCAACACTGCAAACTAGAAAGGAAAAAAAAAAAAAAAAAATCAGCACATCAGCCCCCGGTCTGTCTTACCAGAACATCCTAGTTAGAGCAGTGAGGGAACTTCTCTAAACACGCATATGAAACTGAAATGCCCCAAACTCCACTTCGCCCTTGTACGTCTCCTGTAATTATAGATGACTGACAAAATGGCTGAAGGGTTCAGTAACAGGATACGCGGCCTCTTGCGTCCAGGTCATCGGGCTGAATCCAGCCCAAGCCAGCAGTGACCAAACGCTGTTCGTACTCGGGGGCTGCTCAACGCCCTCTGCGTTTATACAGCACTTCCAATCCCGGGTTTCGTAACAACGGGCGCACGCAGTTCCCACCTCCCACCCTCCAAAGAGACAGGCAAGCGAGAGGTTAAAGGGCTTGCGCATGGCGCCGCGCTGGGTGACGGATGGAAGGAAAGCAGGTCGCTTGTTGGTGTGGTGGCCCAGCAGCCAACGACAGCGCATCCACTCCGAGGCTGCAGCGCCAACGGCGGCACCGAACTATCACAACCACGTGTCAGCTTAGCAAGGGTCTCAGTGAACTGTTGACTAGACTAGGCAGAGGTTTCTGTCACATTGGGGGAAAAAAAAACCCGTCTGGAAGGTTAAAATGGCAAGGTTGGCTGAATTGACTTTTTTCTGTAAAAAAACATAGGAACTTCGGAAACTAAAAAATTCAAGGAAAGAGAGACGTCAGCACTGCCATAAAATGGAAGCTGGCTTAAAATGGCAAGGTTGGCTGAATTGACTTTTTTTCTGTAAAAAAACATAGGAACTTTGGAAACTAAAAAATTCAAGGAAAGAGAGACATCAGCACTGCCATAAAATGGAAGCTGGGTCTAAGTCAGAGACAACTTCAGAAGCAAAGACGTCCCTTCTGTGACCAGACACCTAAACCCTCACACTGCCCTAACTTCTGGCTCTGTGTCCCAGCCCCGAACTCGCACCCAGACGCTGTTTCCCCCCCAAAGCTCTGTGTCACCAGCTTTACACAAAGATCTGCAGAAGTTCAAGCCCCTCAGCTTTCTGCCAAGGTGGAGAGTGTCCCAAGCACACCTCTGACCTATACCGCAGTGGGAGGGGGCCGAAGGCTGCCAGCTCTATTTCTGTGTAGGATTCCTCCCCAAGGAAATTCAGCCCGTTTCTTCTAGTGTTGCAGAGCCCATAAGGAACGGAGCAGAAGCCAGGATCTGGATGTCAGACACAGTGGATTTACCAGTGCTTATTTCTTGCTAAGCAGTGAGTTGTGCTTCGCATTGTGTGGATCACACAGACGAGACCCCCAGCCCTTTGACCAACCAAGCACCTCTGGTTATTTTCTGTGTGAGACACTGCAAAAACACCAAACAGCCGGACCAACACGGTGTGGAGCCTGCTGCTGGCATCAGGGAGAGAAGATCTGGGCACAGTTAACAACCGAAGGTGAAGCGCTCTGATAAGCAGGAGCTACACGCAAGGAAAAGATGGGTACAAAGCACTGGAAAGGGAAGAAATGCGTGTTGGAAGGGCTGTGGGTGCGGGCAAGGATCTAGCCTGCAGCTGAGTTACTCAGAAGTTCTGTATCCAAACATCCATTTTTAACCCATCGTAAGATGTAAAGTATCCAAACCAAACAAGATCAGCAGCCAACAATAAGACAAGGGCATGACAATCAATACAAGTTTAATGATATGACCTCTGTACTGAAATGAAGTTTACTTCCAGAGCTTCATTCAAAGCTGATCCCATTCCAAATTCAGTAGGATTAATTGCAAATGATGCAGTTCTTTGTCTGTCTGTCCTTTCTACTTGCGACGCAAGCAGCACTAGAGGCACAACGTCAACCCTCAGACAAGGCTGCAATGTTACCATCGACTGCATTCCCACTGAAGGATTTTGGCAGGTTTATCAAGAAAAATAAAGCAGATTTCTCTAAACTCCCTCATGATTCATTCAAACCTTGGCCCAGTTCTGCTCTCTGCCATGCCAGGGTGAGAGCTGGCTGCCTGCCTCTTTGCACAAGGTATTTCAGTGGAGCAATAATTCCCTTACAGAGCGAGTCTGTACACGCAGCACGTCCCCCTCCCCAGCCAAGGGAGGAAAGTCAAAAAACTTGTACTACAGCCAAAAGCCCCCAAGTTTGTGATCGTTCAGAACGATTCTCCTGCAGGCTGCACATCCAGTAAACTACATGTGCCGGCTTCAAGCGCCCGCAGCGAGGCATCTTGACAACTACCCACGATCTCCTCTGCATGAACACTCCAACCTGAGCTAAGCCCCACCCTGGGCAGCAGAACTTCCAGCAGAATTGCTGAAGCCTATGACCGAGTCAGAAATGTGAGTTTATGTTCAGCAGAGGGCTAACAGATATGAATCGATCCTAAAGTCCAACAATTACCAGAACTATCCAATCCTACTTAGCGAGCATTGAATATATGGCCCAGGAAAGATCAAAATCTGTTTGACTGACACAGGCTTTGCTTCTCCTAAAGCCTGTCCAGAGCAGCATCGGGGTCTCTCGACAAACTGTGTTGTGCCTGCAGTTTTTAATCCACCACCCTTATTCATACTGGGTGGGAGAGGGAACCCCTGAGCCCAGCAAGAACACCCCTCGCCCCGCGGTGTCAGTGAGGGCTGAGAAGGTGTCACTGAGACCTGGGGCTACCAAAGCAAATCCAGTTCAGCAAAACCCTCAGAACCCCCTTCCCACACCACCACCTCTCTTCACACACTTCTGACAGGTAAAACAACACTCCTGGGGTTAAGTGGTGTTGATCTCGATCCCACATTTACGCATTGGGTCTCTATTTTGCATTGGTCCTGATTTCCTTTTCCTTAGAAATGAGACAAACTCAGAGAACCTTACAAACTGCAAAAAGGCTTACCTGAAACACGTCTAAACGCTTACAGCTCCAAGACAAAAACCAAACCAACCAAACAACCCAGATGGCAAACCAGGATTGCCCTACAAAGATAATATTGCTCTTCCCACACACTCAGGGGCAGGACGAAAGGAAAGCACAGGGCCCAAGCTCAGCCTGAATGCTACGATCATGTGTAAACCAGTAAAAAATCCAGTATATCCGATGGACTGAACCGAGTTTTTGCCTACCTCGTTCCAATGATTAATGAATCCCCAGTACCCAAACATACTGCAATTTAATGGCAAATCCAGAAACGTCTGTCCATCAGTTTCTTTACTATAAACCAGTTCAAATACAGCAGAGAGCTCTGTTTGTCAAAACACCAGTTGAGCAATGACAAACTGAAAGCAACTGTGCCCCAGTGTCAGACCCGTGGCGCAGCTGGGGCGAGGCACTGGATCCCTGTTTATCAGGAGAAAGTGCAGTTTCTCCTGGGACTCTGGCAAGGGCTCCTCTGGAACTGCTCCTCGAGAGCTGCGAGGAACTTCTCTTGGGCTGCATAAATATTTAGAGTCCATTTTAAGACTTCCATGACTGAAGTATTGTTTAATAAAAAAAGAAAAAAAAAAAATTAACAACAGATTTTACAGCCAGAACTATTACATACAATAAACTGACCGTCAGACATTTTTTACACTAAAGCTCTGTGATTTCAATTATACACAAACATGCTGTTTCCTATAGTGAAGATGTTTAAACTACACGAGCCAAGATTTATTTTTTTTTTTAAAACCAGGGCCATTATATTACATAAACCCCCAGCATTTTAAGGTTCTCCTCAAGCACAAACCCTTAAAAAATCAGTAACTTGTGCTCGTGAACTGTCCTGACATTCACTGGTTTCATGTAAGGGTTGCTCCCAACTACCATAAATGAGACTAATTAACCAACATAAAACGTTTTAAATGTCAGAAGAAGAGAGGGGAAATGAATTAGTTCAGTTGAATAAACATGTCTTTCCTATATTACCGCAGTATTTTAAAAGTGATTAGAGTGCCTTGAAGACATTCTGACTGGAATTAATTCTATTTATAATTCCTTTGAAAGGCCTAATTTTTAAAACAGCAGTTGGCTGTTCACTGCTTCCTTTTCCTTTACTGCAAGGGATTGTGATTTCTAAACAAATGGTGTGGAAGTTCTTCTAACTCAGATGAAGGAACATACCACAAAGGGCTTAATTATTAAAGAAATACAAGTGACCCTGGGACTGCAAGTTTTTCTGTGATGTTGTTTAATCAGATCCAAACACAACTTAAGCAAAATAACTTTTCTTTGAACACTGAAATTCAATGCCCTTAAAAACCACAATAAACAAAGACTATCTTCCTTTCCTCCCTCGCACACCAACTTTAAATTCTGAAATGCGGTTCGAGCCATGTACCAATAACTCCTCTGGTCAAGGCTGTGGCCTCGAGATGCTGCAGAGATGAAGCCTAAGTACTTGGTCACCTAAGCGTGAAGGTGAGACACCGCTTCCTACAGACCGGACTGATGGGCAGCGGTGAGAGGATTTAGCCATCAAAATGCAATCCCTGTGTGGAAACACTGGGAAGGCACAGACAATAATGGCCTCATTTAAGCCATTTTGCCAGGAAATAATTGCAGCAGTATCAATCATGTCCAGAAAAATTACCAGAACATAAGAATGCACCACCACCTCTTAAAAATACTTTTACTGCACAGCCCTTTAGGAGCAGGAAGATTATTACACAAACCCCTGGGCTAATATCCCATCTCCTCCTTCCCTTCTGAGAAAATGAATCTTTATCACGAGCAGCAGAGCCCAGGTAACAACCCGACAGCCTTACACTCTTCCCTTTCTCCAGATGGGAAGGACTCTGACTGCAGGAGACTTGCACATCAGGTGCAACTTTTCCGGCACAGACTCTTGTTTAAGTCGGAGCATAATGAGAAACTGGATTTAGAAACTCTGGATAAGATCCTGACATCTGCCTCCGATTTCTATTCCACAAATACAACAAAAACTTTTACAGCCTTCCTATTTTTCTCCAAGTTTCACTAGAAACCCCTTCCCCCAACAACTCAAAGGACTTTACAAAGCACTAAGTAAGGGATTTACTGGAGGATAAATGCAACTTTATTTCAAGACGATTAAACAAACTGAAAAAGAAATGGACAGCACATTGTACTCAGTAAAGAAACAATTGTTTGAAAAACGAAGGCGATTAGCTTGAAAGGAGAGAATATAACTCTCACATAACAGAACTGGAGGGTTTTCAGCCAATTCGCTCGCTCGCTCTTTTTAAAAAAAATTATTATTCTTCACTGTCAGTTTTGCTCTGCCACCTTCCATAAATCCCATTAAATACTACTTGGACATACTCAAGGTACCTGTTAGGCTGTATTGCATGCCTGAGGTAGAGCAACTTGCAAGAGCCATTGCAGTAATTTGCGTCACTAAGAGCAGCAGCCATTCACCCCCAAACCCAGGGACTGAGAAACAGATGCCACCCTCCCCGCCTTCCAGTGAAACAAGGGCATCGCTCAGTCCCCACTCTTCCAGAAAAAAAATGGACACAAGAACTCCTACTGTTTAAGGCAAGCAGCTACACTTGCCACTTGCTATCAGTACAGAAACAAACAGAAAAACAAAACCAGACTGTGCCATTCTAGCCCAAACCACAGATTTTTCAAGAGGGAGAGATGTAATGTTAGCGACAAATTCTGAATGCCCAATGTCTTGTTTTCGTAAAAGATTTCTGCTGCTAAGCACTGGCGAGGAGGTGAAACAGCTGTACTGCATGCAGCCAGAGCTTATTTCAGTTTCCCATTCATTTTTATTATACTGCCAAAATAAAGTACAGATAAAGTTATCCACTATTCCTGCACGAAGCGCTTTATATTCAACTGTGGGTGGCTAGCAGGAAGCTATACTTCTTGAAAAACCAAAAGGCTTAGTACTTCCAACAAGCAAACTAAAACTCAGTATTTACTTACGTGGAGCCAAAGATGCTATTGTTCATTCACGTTTGTAAGGACTCACAGGGCTTTGCTAACCTAGGTCAGCAAGGAATCTATTTACACAAGGCCGCTGTAGCTACAGCTGAAGTAAACTTACCTTCAGAGAATCAACTAAATCATCGACTAGGAAGAGGCGTCTCAGCTCTTTGACTGTGCCATTAATGTGACCAAGCACAACATTACTGTATTTCTGAATAAGCTCTTCAGACACAGCTACATCAGACTCCAAGTAAGCCCTGCAAGAAAGAAGAGATATGAAACTTTACTGTGAGAGTGCTGCCAACACATTCAGTATCAAGAGACAGTATCGACACGTTATATGCTATATATACACCATCAACATACCTTCTTTTTATGCTATAAAGAGAAAAACCTCACCGTGTGAGGAATGCTAAAAAGACAGAACAGAACTAACCTAAGTTATTCTCAAAAGGTAAAAGTGAACCTTAAAAAAAACAAACCCCACAACCTCTGAGAAGAGAAGAGAAGAGAAGAGAAGAGAAGAGAAGAGAAGAGAAGAGAAGAGAAGAGAAGAGGAATGTTTCGCCACTGACACACAGGCTGCACGGTCTGTGAAGCCTCTTCCTACCCCTCAGCATACACTGTCATCTATGGCACCGACATGGCCAACGTGTATTCAAAAAAATGAGACACAAGACAGCCTGGGGGGTGTGGGGTGCCTGTCATTCTCTGGTTTTGCTATTGTGTTAGGTGGCCTAATAGCCTATGAGATTCCTACGTTTGTCAAACAGAAAAAATCCTAGAAAAGCAACATATCCATTTAGAGCGCTGGAAGGCACTTCCGAAATCACCATTAAGCTGCAACAAACACACCGAGGCACTGTAAAACGAGCAAGTTTTTCATCGTCTGCTAAAAATATGTCTTAACAGTTAGTGACAGCAGTTCTTTTAACAGAGGGATATCGGCTCCTGTCTGGTTAAGTGTTCTTGCCACTACACTGCGACTTTTATCTGCAGCTGCAGTGGCTGTGGCAATTTAGATTCTTTAAATAGGGAATAATTTATTTATCTAATAGGCATATTAGAGGGAGAAGGAGCAATGCAGCACATCTGTAACAGGGTACTCATTTTGCAATTACTACAGTTGTTAAAAACTTCCACTTTTGTTTGGGAGGGGGCATTCTGCTTTGGGGTGCTTTTGTTTGATTATTTTAATTAAAAACACACAGCGGAGGCTCCTATGTACATCATTTAAAACAAAGCCAAGCATGGCCTCGTGGCAAGTCCAAAACAATTTAAAATACTTTAAATGATAACTACAGAGGGTGGCCATTTCAAGGCTACATTCTGCTATCCACACCTGGCTTGAATGTGCACACTCTTCTCAACTCATCAGCAAGATATTCAGTAAGAAAAATAAATTAAATTGATCTCATGGATGCACTCTTAAAACTAAATTAAAGTAAAAATACCCTTCCTGTTGTTGAAGCCATACAGATAAAAAGTAAGCAACCAGATATGTTGGACAAGAATGTCTGGAAGCTTCTTTTGAATATCAGTATTTTTAGAAATAAACCGCAGAAAGAGCACAGGTAGAACATGTTTTGCTTGCTCTTGCTGAGAAAGAACTTCACTGGTAAATATGGAAATGCTCTTTGGATACTGAAGAGCGCTTCTGGGTTAGACAGAGCAAACAGGATTTCAACTGGGAATTATTCACCCTAGTAAGGATGAATAAGCGTGGCAAACAAGGCCTCGATGGTTAAAAAAAACCCCCGAACAACAAAAAATTAAGTTTATGGAAAATATGGATTCCACACTGCTATACTGAACGTTGTTGCCCATTGTTCAGATGTATTTTTTTATATCAGATCTAAGCTTGAAAGCAAATACTCCTTTTTTGCCCAGTTTTGCCCCACAGATGGTTTAGGCACAGATTGGCTTCCACTGGGTAAATGAGCCACTACACATGGTCAGGGAGGAATGGAGGCAAACCCAAGAAATCATTTTACTTTGCCTTACCAAAGATAAAAGGAAGAGGATGAGAATAATTGGAAGCACCACAAAATTAGTAAGAGAGCAGTAAATAGGAGGGCAAGCAGGAGTTTCTGAAAGGTGCAAGGGAAATTGAGATTGAACCACTTCACCGATTAATAAAGGAGCGAAGCAAGTCTGAGCAGTGTGGGATAGGGCTGGTTATGGAAACAGGAAACATGCACTCTTAGTAATTACTCTAACACATTAATAAGTTTTTACTTCTCTTAAGATGCAGCTCTGCAGTAATGGGCACCACTGTACTCTACACAGGAAAGGATGAATACCACGGATACCATATTCCCACACTGCAGGGAAGCGCACACACGGTATGCCCCAAGGACTTAACTCACCACTGAAAGCAAAGAGCTCAGAGGTCCTCTTTGAGGACCTAAATTAATCCTATGATTCTACTCCTCAAGCCTTAGAATTCAGAGTCCAAGTTTCTGGATTTTTGATCTGGGCAGGCTGCAATGAACCCGGAATCTGCTGATGACAAGGCAGCCTCGTATGTGGAGAACACAGCTTTCCTGCTATGTACTAAAACATAAATTTTAAGAGTATTCTTAAAAAAAAAAAAGCACCAAAAAAGGTAAAAGTATCCCCTGCTACGTTTATTCTGGTTTTTTTTCCTAAATATATTGCATTGAAAGTGCTGCATCTCCTGGGTACTCTTTGAACTGTGGACATCACCTGCCACTGGTTCACATTCTGAAGACCATACCATTCTAAAATGCACATATTACTCCACAGACTGAAATTTATAGGGCTTTTTAATGTAACTTAAGATGCACTGGCATTCCCAAGGAAATCCCCTGTACCAAGTGCTTGATTCATTTTCTTTACCGCTGCGTATGCCTCCTGAGAAAAAGTGAAAGAAGAGTAATCATAGGCTGGGCAACAGCTCTTTCAGTACAGAGATTATTTACATTATTATGCAACATATTATGGCATATGTCATCTACTGCATCCAAGAGCACCACTACCACTGTTCCCCAAACCCCACATACTTTTTCTTAATGAAAAGAAAAATCTCACCTAAACGGGTGGCCTTCATCAGACTTTTGGATTGCCTGGATAACTCCCTTGTATATCCTAAAGCTGATCGTCACAGAAAGCAGGGCCAAGGCAATGTAAGCCGTCACGCTCACAATGCTGAACACTGTTAATGAAAGCAGCAGGAACAAGCTGGCACCAAACACCACTCCTGTCTTCTTAATGTCGCGCCAGTAAAGGAGGTCAACAACTAAAATTTAAAAAAAGTAAGAAATTAGAACAAGATACCTTTTGCATCCATACAAAAACAGTAAAACGTGATTCATTTGACTGCTGAGAGTCATCAAGAACGGAACTCGCGATCTCACTGGCAAACCAGAGCTGAAATCACAACTAGAAATAGGTTATTTTAGCACTGATACACTGCATTGGACTTCAGAGTATTGGGATTGTTGTTGTTAGGATTACCTCAAATATAATTGCTAAAATTTAAGAACAATTCTGCCCTTAAGCAATGTCAGAATTAATCTCTTCATCTACTGTGCTGTATTCTGCACCAGCGCCACAGCAGTTTGTGCTTCATTTAATTTAATTTTTGTGGATTTTGTGGAGGTCACTCACTGAAGAGATTGATTCCGATTCCCTGTTAGGACACAGGGCAAGACACTAACAGCTCTCTATACCATTCTTATCTTTGCAAGCCTGGTAGAGGCAAAGGCACTGCTCAAAACTCATTAACAGTTCATTTTGTTTCCTTTTGACTGAAGACATGCCCATGGGAGTTTATAATGTTGATGATGGGTGACAGACTGAGCCATCAAGAGGGAATCATCTCACTGAAATCTCAAATCCAGGCTCAATCTGCTGTGCTACAATGCAAAATACTTCATTTGTAAACCAAGTTTGTTTTTTCCTTAAGCGACCCTCATGAAAGAACACAGCATTATGCCATTTTTAGCATTGCTGTTAAGAATAAACTACACCCTTGCGCAAGCCATAGGTAACGGTACACCCGCAGCAGATTTGTTTGGTTTGAGGTGCAGTTGCAGCCGGTTGATAACCTTACTGAACTCATGAAGTCCACAAACATCGCTCTCCATTGCTGAGTACGGAACTGGGCAGAGGCATCTAGTCTAGTTTTATACTTCATGGTAAGATGCACAATTAAAAAAAAAATCAATCTTCATGATTTCTACTTCCACAGCTGATTAGATTTTCACAAGAACAAATTCCTCTTCTGCATCAAAACTGCTTGTTAATGGCAATAGCATATGAATTTTTAGATACAGAACTCAAGATAAATTACAGCAAAATTATTACAACACAAGCTTAGCAATCCTATGTCATCCTAAACATCACTGAAGTTAATTGTACAATAGCACGTCACAATTCGGAACAGATTCTTACTCTGAATGACTGTAAAAGAAAAATAAAAAATAAAATTTGACTGCTGTTTCTTACAGGATGAAAATGCGGTAAGGCACTAACATTAAATACTTAGTAGCCTCTGCAGGGCAAAGTCTGCAAAATCCCTTTTGTAGGTACAACACGAAAAAGCCACTGGGGCTATGATGCAATCTCACAGCATTTCAGCTGAAGTCCTTTCCTAATTATTTCCGTAGGGAAACCGTATTGAGCAGCAAGCGCTGCAAAGATGAGAACCCTGGTCAGGAACTTACAAGCCACCATTTTCATAATGCAAAATATTTAATCCAAATATTCAGCAGAAATTTCCTGAAGCTACAGTCAGAATCAGGTTCCAGTTGCAGGAACACCTTAAATTTGTCAAAAAGCAAAGCTGCTGTGGAAACAAACAGCCTCACCCCTTCACCACCACTCAATCCCACTCCTTTCCTCTGCACGGCCACACACGGAACCGGCCCGATTTTCTGCAAGTCGCTGACAACTACTGCACCAAAAAGTGAAATAAAAACTAAGCAGTCAGCCAGATCGGATTCTGGATGTGGTTCACCATGTGACTCCCCAAGCATATGGGGTGAGAGATAGAGCAGCCAGCCAAAGGAGGTGACACTCCTGCTCTGGAACTGCACCCATCTGAAGTCCTCGCCAAACTGCAGCCCAACCTATCCATGCAGCCTGTTGACCTGTTATTCCACTGGCTCTCTTCATGTTACAAAGCTGCACTTCTATCTTCCCTGTCAAAGAAATGAAGCTCTAAACAAGACAACTTTTCTTTAATATTTGTAAAAACCAACCAACCAAAAAAAAAAAAAAAAATCAAGTCATCACAATAAATTTAACAACGCTTTCTTTGGTTTCTTTGGCGTTGCTTCTGCTCACAAATGTGTCTGTTAGTCTCTCTGTACACCTTAGGTTAGCAAGTTTAGCACGTAAAAGGCGCTTATAAACAAAGTTGTGAGCTTGACTTAAAAATCTTTGTAAACTCTAAACCTAAATTGAGCTTCAAGTATCCGTAACACCTGGGTGAGATTTGCAAACCCAAGCCCTGCCAAAAAAAATTGGTGGATTTTGTGCTCCTAAATCACGCAAGAAATCTTTGGAAAAAACCATTTCTTTCCCAGTATTTACTTCAAATACTGAAACTATATTTATTTTTAAATGCTGCAATTTGAGCGTCCATACATTCAAATTTGGGTGCTGCTCCCGTATCATGTGACATGCTAAGCATGAGCCCTACTCCTCTCCGTTTGCAGACAGCATTTGTTCTGTAAATGAGATACTCCCTCCTCTGTGACACTGTTGTAAAGCGGCTCCACTGACAGTGGGTTCTTAGCGCTTCATAGGAAATCAGTTATGACAAGCAATAAGGCCTTATACCTAAACCCAGTTCTAAGGAATGTAAAGACAGCAATTCATCTGTAGGACAGCTTCCAAAACACCAGAAACAAAAGTAAATTGCTGGAATTAAAGCACACCACAAATGCCAAATGGCCTCTAGCCACCCATCTTCCAAGTTTTTTGTTCTCTGTAAGAAAATCCCCCAAGCTAGGACACCCCAGAGCAGAGTTAAGCTGCACACGAAGCCTTTTTCCTCACTCTGTTGCCACTCTACCATCTCAGCCTCAGCTTTACGACACACGTATCTTGTTTCATTGTAAATTCCTCACAGGGAAACTCAGCGTTATAAGTCACTGAAAAACTGATTTGTAATTTTTAGTCCAAGGGAGTACACGGTGAAATTGATTTATATTCTCCAATTGATCAGAACCAGGTATTTGCATTTCTTTCTAAAGTAAAAGAAAATATTCAAAGCATTACTGGAAGCAACTTTCTGGCTTTACTTTATACACAAGATATTCACAGCAGATTAAAAAAAACCCCAGAAAAACAAAAACCTCAACCAGTTCTCAGCAACAGCTCTGCCATGCAGTATTTTTCAGCATGGAAAGCGTTTTAAGCTTTATTTTATACAATCTGAATCATATTCTCATGCATTAAATGCAAGTATTCCAGGCCTATTCTAAAGCAAGAACAGCTGCCTACATTTGGTAAGCACGAACTGTCACTTGGCACGTCTAAAAATAGTACTGCTAGCATCCGTGCCTTACATGCAGAACTCATCCAATTACATTTTGCTTTTAAAGCAAGTGCCGTGATAGGTTTATCACTGTAATTATTTTTTTTTAAGCCTTTTCTTTCTTTCACGGCCATTTGACTTAAAACTGAGCAATTCCTATTTTTCGATGACAAAAACAAGTGGTTTAATAGATTTAACCTGATAAGCCTCTTTTAAAAAAAAGCTGAACCACGTAACCCTCTCTCTCTTTTTTTTTTTTTTTTAAAGGAAGAGAAATTTAAAGCCTCGAGCTCTACAAGCAAGTTTAATTCACATCTACTAAAGAAAACCAAGAAAAAGGGACTAACCCATTTTGGCATCCATCTTGAGTGTGCCTGCATGCACCCAGATCTTGCACAGCTGACTACCCAGAGCCTTTTCACTTCCTGCGAGGGCATCCCGGGGTCGGCAGATCTACGCAGCCGCCTCGCTGCGGGAAATCTCGCCAATGGCTGCCCCTGCGCTAAGTCCTTGGAATGCAGCTGCCGAGGGAGAGACTCGGCGTTCACAATGGACAACTACTCTCTATCCAGTGTTCAGCCGCAAACAAAAAACGGGTTTCAGCGCCGAAGAAAGGGCGTTTGTGTAAAAGGAGAAGGAAGTTTCAAAAAAACGCAAACAGTGTACGATTTACAAACGTTGTATCAACAACGGCCATTACACTGGAACCTTTCTGTAATCTGAAAGGTAAGCAAAAATTCTTTATGCACTTCAAGTAATAGTAAAACCAGCGTAGAAGCACAAGTAAGAGCCTTTTCTGGACCAATTTAAGAACAGCTAGCGTTGTACGAATACAGAAATGTAACAGAAGTGTTGAGAGTGGGCAGCTTTCAGATGCGGCTGAAGTGCTCGGTGACAACTGTCACCATAGCACCATACAGGCTGCTACGAAGAAAATTAACTCTGTACCAGCAAAAAACCAGTGTACGACCACAAAAAGGCAAATTGCTGTTCATTTCTGTTTAGAGGGGCATTTTCCAGATACAGTAAATAAACTTCCTATTTCCACATGACAGTGATCTTCAGGGTTTCCACTATCTTTTACACAGAGCATGGAGCAGGCAAGACCTCACCTTGCAGTTTCACTTTCAAAGCCTGGTAGCCCGGTGTGGGGCAGCCCCAGCTGGAGACAGACCAACCCCAAGGAGAAGTCACCAACCCATCAAGCAGTCCGAGTCTGCCAAGCGTAAACACCATTAGTAGCTGGGGGTTGACATTCTCAAGATTTCCTATATCAGAATGATGATTTTAAATCATGGTTGACATCCTAAACAGCAGCAGTTGCAGACTGGGAGGCAGAACCTTTTACCCTGATGTGCTGGAAGCCAGTTTGGTCCTTAACTGCCTTGGTGCAAGTCGGTAACAACAGAACAATCCCGGGCTGGTAAAACTGGGAGGTTATTGCATGACTGCACATGGTGCCAGGCACGTGGAGCTGACCTCAACCAACAGAGCTTTCCCTGTCCTAGGGACAGGCATCGCAAAGGAGCGGCACGTCCAGTGGGGCCGCTGGGCTTGTCTAACTGGATCCCAAAGGTCAGAAAACAAGGCTGCGTCACACGCATCTCAGACTTGGCACATCCACCCCACAATCCCTAGCAAGAAAATGCGATACGGATTTCCCAAAGTATGTGCTAGAAGGAAAATGAAGCCCAATGCTACCAGATTGTCTCCCCCAAAGGCAAATACTATCTATTATTAATGAGCCAAAG